GTCCAGGTAGATGATGTCAGTTGCCCTACCCTTATCCACCAGCGCTGTGGCCTGGTCGTAGAAGGCCACCCAATGTTTCAGGCACGATTTTCAGTTGGTAAAGCCGTGTTGGTTGTCACCAATCACCTGCTTGTTTTCCATGTGCCTTAGCATAGATTCCAGGAGGTTTTGCTCTGTGATCTTGCCAGGTACAGAGGTAAGACTGATCGACCTGTAGTTTCCTGGGTCTTCCTTATTTCCTTTTTTAAAAATGGGGGTTATGTTTCCCCTTTTCCAGTCTGCGGGAACTTCAGCAGAGCACCAGAGTGCCACGACTTCTCAAATATGATGGATAGTGGTTTGGCAGCTTCATCTGCCAGTTCCTTCAGGACCCGTGGATGTATCTCATCAGGTCCCATGGACTTGTGCACCTTCAGGTTCTTATATTTAATGAGAAGTTACAAATGCTTAATCAAAATTAATTTGTGATCAATTTCCTTATGAGGAAATTCCACTTTGAGAATTCGTGCTTATAAAGAACACCTGCACATGCTAGAATTTCTACTTTTTTAAATGCCTGATTAGAATGAGACAAATTGGCTTCTCAGGGATAAAACACTGTTACTCCTTGAGCATACAGTCTTATCTGAGCTTTAGGGGTGTCCTGAGTACTTTAGTCATTGTTGCTGTGTTTTCACCATCCCCAGCAGGTCTTACCTCTGTATATTCCGTTCCAGCCACCCAACTGCCTTTTGCCTTCTTGTCTTTCCAGCCATCCCCCATGATCAGAGGCAAAGTAAACTAGTGTAGTATTTTTCAGTGCTTCTTTGTCAATAGCATCTAGAACCTGGCCTGTAAATACAGGATTATGTGTGTATTAAAAAGCAAAAAATATTGCTTATACTACATAAATTTTAGCCTCTGACTTGTAAACATTCACCCATGTAATTTCTTATCTATGTGGGGCTGTTCATTGTTTAAAATAAGAGTTTTTTAAGATTGAGATTTGTAGTTGTGAATTCACTGTCTGTAAAAGCACAGAAAATTTGTGCTATACTGCAACTGCTTTATTGTTGGTATTATAACAAAGGAGGGCAAGTACCACAGTCACAGACCAGAAGCCTGTATTGTAAAGGGCAGAAGTGCTATGTGCTGTAAAAATATGGAAAGAAAGCATGATCCAAGACCCTGAAAAAGTTAGGTTATGCATAAGTGATGGCCAATGTGAGAGAATATCATGTATCATTATCTTATATTGTCTAGACCACAGTTAGTATTTGCATTGAATTACTGACTATATGTAATAGCATTATTTTTTTTTTATTTACAAGTTGTTCTTGAACTGTTTATGATGTTCTTAGCTATATTTATGCTGTGTAAGTGTTTGACAGGTAGATTTGAAACCCAGTTCTTTCTGTATGTGTACCTGATTCTTATCCCTTTTGCAAATGTGACTACTTTTCCTCTGCCAGGACTGGGTGATAAATAAGTGTCCTTCCCCTCCAAAAAACAGGCTGAAAAATAACATGAATCTAATTTCTGGGGTCATATCAATTAACATTTATGAGCATTTATGGATTTGTGAATGGGCTGAAAAATATTCAGTACTCTGCTAAATGCAGCAGTCACAGAGAAATAGTCTTCTGGTTTATACCTGGAATTAATTTGCTGCTCTGTTTTATCACCTTCTGATGTGTCCTACTTAGAAATAAATAAGGCATGACCATTAAGGGGCTGAAATTACCTGATCTTCAATAATCACAGAAAACTAATCAATTCTCGATTCGTGTAGTATTCTGTAAGAAGAGCAGGAGAGCTCCTTGACAGGAGCCAGAGGGACATGGTTGAAACTGGTGAACACTAGACAAAAAAACCTGAGTGAACGGAAAGACTCATTTGGTCCAAGAGTCCAAAAATAAAAAAGCCAACACTACAAGCCAACAGTGCTCATACAAGACTAACCAATGTTCATTAAAAGCTTAGGACATTTTTCCTTCTTGTTTTTAATTCTCCTCCTTGTTCTTTTTAAAATGACTGCATTTTTATTGTATATTCAGACCTAGGTATTATGTAGTTGGAGACACTGTTATTTGCTATAGCGACTTACCCACCATCCAGTCCATCTCCTCTACATTGTCTCCGTATAAACCATGGCTGCTCCTCCCAAGAAATTTCTCTGTGGTGAGGAGAGGGGTGTGAGAGTGTAAAAAGGAAAGAAAGAGGAGGAATGGCTTGTGCTTATTTCTAAAAAACAGAAATAAACACTTTGTTATTAGGGGTGAAGGTTCTCAATACATACAGTCATAATGGAAAATGATATTATGATTTGTGTATATACATATTTCAACAGTCATTTCAGAAACATCTCACTTTGTAAGGTATTCAGATCCAGTGATTAGGATCTGACTGATAAAATACTGTTTGGTTTGTATAAAATTACCCTCTTTTCTCCCTGAATCATAGAAAAGTTCCAGATTCGAGCTCTACATTCTGTATTGCAAACAACCACAGCGCTACTGCAATGACAGCAGCAGGTTCATCCCTTGCCAGCTGTTGCTCACATGTCAGTCCATACAATAAGGCTCTCCTCACAGCTGTACTTTGGCTTCTAGAGCACACACACACATTTCTCCCAGCAGTGGCTATCCCTTAAGGCTGCAATGTTGGTCTCATTGATAAAAATACATATTTCCTCAAAATATCCTAGAAATATCCAATCCAACATGAAGAAATTTGGAAATGTTATCAGCTTTAGTGAAGCTGAGAATAACAGACATCTTTAAGCAGCAGCTAATTTTTTTTGTTTAATAATGTGATATAATCAGTAATATTATGAATAATAAGCACAATAGCACTTATAATCCTATATAATATTATGAAAATTATAGAGACTTCACATGGGAAAGTGCCGTTTAAAAGTTGCAAGACATGCAAGGAGCAGAAAACATTAAACACAGAAAAAAGGAAACACACTGTACCTTTCAATAAATGAAATGGACTCTCTCAAGATAAGGGATGTAGTCCTGTCTGTCACCATTGGCTGCTCAGTAACTTCGTGGTTTCTCATCAAAATGCAATTCCAGTATCGTACAAACCCGTAACTTGAGAACCAGGATGCAAAGAACAGGACACTAAACCCAGCAAGGCAGGTCAGCGTTTTCCAGCGGACAGAAATCAAGCCAGTCAGTCTTCCCAGGACAGCGGTGAGTGTAACAAGGCCAATCATCTGAGTGGAAAGCCAGAGTTTCCTTCTAAAGGCTCTGTCCATCTCTGGTGTTTCCGTTGGTTGGCAGTCACTTATTAACGTAAAAGGCATCCCATAAAAATAGTCAAACCCATGGTTTAAAGGATGATGACAATGGTCATTGCGGGATTCACAGTTAACACCTAGATGCCACTTCCCTGAAAATACAGGTTATTAAAATGTAAAGAGATAATATTTTAAAATGGGCTTTTCCTCATAGAAAATATTTCTCAAAAAATGGTTGGGTTTTTTCCTAATTGTGATAACTTCTTCGTCCTACACATATATATCAAGTATGTACTGATATAATGGGATATATCTTGCGGCTGATGAAAGTAAACCTCTACAAATGTTAAATTTCCAACAGAGTTATTGGTGCTCTGTATACATATTCATGTCCCGTAGCTTTGATCAAATGTAAAAAACTGTACTATAAAGGGAACTTGAAATTCCTGAATATTCAGATTTTCAGAACTGAGCAAAAATGTATGGCCTTCCTGCAGACCTGTCAAGTATGAAACAGGAGGAAGAAGTCCTTTTGTAAGCACAGGGCAAAACAGCATTGTTCTGTTGCCTGTTGTCTCTTTACCTTCAAGGTGCTATGTAGACTTGTTTCTAGAAAGTTTTGAACAGCTTCAGGTCAGGACTGTGGAAACACTCAGCAATGTTGATGAATGGCACATCAAACCCACGGTTTTGCTTCCCCTTAGTCTACTCAAACGGTCTGCTTAGGTGCTTACATGGAGACATAAAGAGCTGGCTCTTTGGTTTAAACACTGAATATCTGCATCACATAACCAAAATCTACCTCTCATCAGAGTAATGCAGTTTAATTGTATTTTGTGATCTCTGGTGTAATGCAGGCCTTGGACACCAGATTTACCAGATCTACAGATCAAAATGAAATTTTGAATTTTACTTGAAAACTAATTTGCAACTAATTCTTATTGTGGGGTAAGGAACTGCATCCTTTTGAAGGATATTATCCTAAACAAATGGTTCATTATGTTACCAGTACATATACTAGCAGCCAGCTAAGTAGGTTTCGATAGAATTGCTGTGCATTAAAACAGGACCACTAAAAAACCGCTTCAGAGGAAAAAAAAATGCTGCTTTTGAGACATAAATCTAAAGAAAAAGTGAAAGTTCTGTTCTAGGTGGGTTAATTGCTCTTGACTTATTTAGAGCCAGCTATAGAATGAAAAAGGTTTGTAATCAATATATAGATGCATTGGTCATAAATACAGGTGCAGCTAAAGCATCTTTGGACTTCAGATGCACTCAAACACCTAAATCTCCATCTGAGGTCAGTAAAGGCTTCTGACATGCTACAAAAGACTCAAATCTCTAAAAGGTAAACTATGTCTATAATTAAGATAAATTAGTCTTTGAGGGCATATGTTATACAGCATTGGCTTTCTGACTACAACAAATCTGCAAAGCATTTCCCAACAAAAAGTCTCATTATCACATCAAGCTGAAGGTTATTAATAGGATTTAACTTTACAATTAAGCTGGTTGTGCTCAGAGCAAAACAATCACAAACCATTCAGCTGAGACTATTTAGTGCTCGTTCAGCTGTGGGTGATGTGGGTAGATGTTGTGTAAGATTTCTTGCTTTGTGATTTGAATGTAAAGTTGTTATGGGTTTTTTTGTGTCACTTATTGACAGTGCTTTCCAATATTTCCTGCAGTACAATTAATCAGAACCTGCCAATCTGGCTCAATGTGTCACTTATTGACAGTGCTTTCCAATATTCCCTGCAGTACAATTAATCAGAATCTGCCAATCTGGCTAAACTAAGTGATGCTCTCGGTGTCTATGGTGTGATTTCAGTTGAGATGCCCACAGGGAAAACACCAGCCGGTTTTGCTGGCTAGCTTCTAGGGGGTGTGCAGCAAAACCTCCCTGCAGGGCAATTCCTTTGCCAAAGTGGAGATAAATCCAGTTGTTGTGTTACTGATTACATGCTGAAGCCAAGCTGAAGCACATGGCTAACAGACATGGGCTTTTTCATGAGCCGGTTAAAATAACTAAAATCGTATCACTACAAAACTACCAGGAGAAGATTCAGTAATATAGAACTCAAAATGCTTTGAGGGCTTCATTTAGCATTGTTCTGTACAGTTCAGATTTATTCTGCTGAATGAGTACAAATCCATTCCCGCAGACACTTTTATTAGTATATTCAGTTCATTTGTGCAGCTAATATTTTTGTGTGTCAGCCATAGATTTTGGATATTGACATTTAGATGCTCAGATGAGGTAGGGCAAATGTCTGAAAATTCATTCCAGTGCTTTATCAGTCTGTGGAACTATTTGACATATCTAAGATAAATAATTATCTGAAACTGGATCATGACCAAAAGTTACAACTGTACTAAAAAAAAAAGTCCTATAAAATATAAAGTAAAATGGAATTCATATTAATGATGAAGAAGACATCATTTTTTTGGGATGTTTTGTAGGCTGTACTGAAATCTTGGTGAACTATAGTGGCACGCTATAATTAAAGAAAAAAAATTGCTTTGTTTCTGTTTTTGAAAGGCCAAATCCTGTGATATTATGAACTGGCTCTATTGTTTTAGGTAGCAGTTGTTCCCTTTTGTTGTGAATCTGCCCCGAGCAGATCGTCATCCATATTTAAATGGCACTTATGTTTTTGTTTTTTTATTAAATAGCATTGGAGTAATTATCATATACCAGGTAGAAGAGTATTCAAGAAATATTAACATGTTTTCCATTATATATATTTAACAACCACAGCTGTGCTTGAAAGCAGGTCAACAGTAAAGATTGTTCCCTTTATCAGATGCCTGTTCTTTTAAGAGAAATTCTTTTTGGTCAAGATTTCTTCTTACAATATATTCTTAAATCAGGAAATAAAAATATTACAACTGAGGTATGAGCAGTTGTGAAATAAAACAAATTATTTGAGTGAGACGTGCAAGTGAAACACATTCTAGGCCCTCTTCAAGTGTGTCCCCGTACCTATCAGTCCTGTGCTGTAGCCTTGCTGCTGCAGTATTTTGGCAAAAGTGGTTTCATTTGGAGGAAGCCCTCCTGAGCCGCCATTCCAAAAAATAACACGGTAGTTGTTTATAGCATCCATCCCTAAAAAATACAGTAATAAACGATATTAGTAAGTATAACTGGTAGAATACTTCTATCAAACATACTTTCTTGTTTCCTGCTTTCCTTGGTATTTTAGTGTTAAGCATTTATCCTAATGCTGTTTGTTTGGAGAAATTAATCTAGGACTCTGGACAAGAGTAAGAAAGAGTTAAGTCTCTCTGTTATGTAATACCTATTCTTCTTTGTATCTCATACTGAGACATTTTATTTTTTTATTTTATTTGGAATGGCACAGTTGTGTAGGAGCTTTTATATGTCACAGTGGCATCCAGGCTGTCTGCAGTGCACTTACTTAGTGTGACAGCAAGGGCAGGGAGGAGGTAGGGAGACTTCAGACCCCTCAGCCTCAAACTCCAGCTTGCGTAAGGCTGACTGGGAACTCAAGATTTCCCTGCACAGTGGCATGGCTGGTGTCTGACTTCTGAAACCCACGGAATACCTATCTAGCACTACAATCTTCTCATCTGCAGTTTTACACCCTGTTATTTAGCATTATAGACTGGCATTACCCCATCATACGATGTTACATGAAGTACAGTCTGTCATGGAAGCGTTGAATGTCTCTGGCCCTGTTGTTATAGTTGGAGAGAGTCTGTACAAGCTCATGTGTGTTTTCAAGATATCTGTCTCAGTGGGAGCTGTCATGATGAAAGTAGGATGACATGTCAGCTCAAAAATGCCTCAGGAATGAAGGCACTGAAGATTATTTGCAATAGAACAGGCGTTAGAGGGTTGCTGATAGAAACACATTGAGCAATTTGTTTTTCATACCTCTTTATTTCAGGGATGCAGTTTGACAGGATAGTATTTTTTCTTCAAAAACAGAACTGGGAAAAACAATATAGCTGTCAAACTGTTATTTCATAGGACGGATGAATTCTGACATATAGGTAACAAAGTTTTCCTGTAAACGACTCATTCTGCACCTTGACTGGAGGGAATGGACACACATCTGCGTAGATCTACTCTGCTCCCTGCAGGGCTGAGCCATTTCTGATATCTGATGAGGAGTCACCCATGACAGAAATTAATGTAACTGATGCTTCAGAAGTGTGTTATTATTACTCATGTTCTGTGTAATGACTTTCTTGAATGTAAAAATTTGTACTAATTCCATTCTGACTGCAATCTGTGCAACAGAGCACCAAAATGCACCTGAAATTGAGAGCTGGTGGGGAGCAAGCTGTTCTGCAGAGCTGGTTCTTCTCTGCCCCAGGTCGGTTCATTGAATCATGGAATCATAGAATGGTTTGGGTTGGAAGTGACCTTAAAGATCATCTAGTTCCAATCCCCCTGCCACGGGTCGGGAAACCTTCTACTAGACCAGGTTGCTTAAAGCCTCATCCAACCTGGCCTTGAACACCTCCCATAAATCTAGATGCCACCTCAGAGGTACTAGACCTATCTGGTGTGTCTTTGTGTGCCTCAGTGAGGGATGACATGTCTGTGGCACCCTTCTATTTGCACACCCTCATTTCTTTTGTACTCATTGCATGACATTGTTCCCTTCAGCAGTAAAGCATTTATGAAAGGCTGCTTGGTTTCGCAATGCAAACCTGATCGGAGGGGATATCTGCCAGTGAGGAAAGCTGCTCTGCTTGGGGTGCAAAGTGGAGCTGCAGCGATGTGTTGGGTCAATTTCACTCCTTCCTTTGCCAGGCGATCAATGTTTGGGGTCCTAAAAATGCAATCAACACTGTCAGATATCATTCAGAGGGTCTTTGAGGGAATGGGGATGAGAAATAATATGCTTACCTTTATTTTAGCAAGTTTCTTCTATTTGAAGATGGCCAAGAAATATTTTTTAAAATTTTATTTTATCTTCATTTTCTCAAGTGACAGGGAAGCACTTCCCCCCTCCCTGTCCCCCCTCTCCTTAACAATTGCTATCTGGATAAATTTGAGGCCAATTGTTCCTTCTTGTTTCCCAAGTCCTATGTAGGGTCATGCAGAAACGTACCCCACTGCTTCTGAAAATAAATCTCATCCCTTGGGGATGATGCTGTGCTGAAGTGGAGGTCCAGCCTTGCAGAGCATCATCAGCTACCTATGATCATAAGCTACCTATCAGAAACTTGCCAGCCGGTGCTGATCAGGGTGAGATTCTGAGAACTTTGCTGGATGAAGGGAGTTATCATATCAAATATGGTTTTGTTCAAAGAAGTGACAAGCTAGTAGGAAGCCCGCAGGCAATACCGTGGCATGATTTTCAAAGAGAAGGCAAATTTTATGTCTCTGGGTCTGAAAAGTATTTCCTAGTAACACAGCTCATTGCAGTGATTTATACTGTATTTTAATGTGAGACTAGGAAAGAATAGAAAAATAGAGTTAAATGAGGCAATGAGACCTGCTAAATTGAAAAATGGATCAATATTTCTGTCTTTGGGTGTATGCAAGAGCTTAGCTGTTTCTCAGTGTCGGACAATTAAGGAATAGACAAGAACAGTTGATGTATTCCCACAGCAAAGCAGTCTGGGATAGCAGAGTTGGCCCTGGGAATGCCCTCTAGGCTGTGAGATAATCCTGGTAGCGCTTTACATTTACCATTAGTGGCACCTGTGGGAAATCCTTCCATTTCTCCAGGAAATTAACTCAAAGACAGCTCAAATAGCTGATGATAGGCAGAGGATTGCAGTCTTACATTCAATAACACACCAGCTCTGTTCAGTGTTATGCTCAGTTTCCTTACCTGATAGTATCATTTCCATAGCAACCTACATCCCCTATGCCGAGATCATCAGCCATCAAGAGGACAATGTTTGGCTGTGTGATGATGGAAAGCTGTGTAAGTGGTGGCTGCAGAAGCAGACCCAAAATCAGGGGTGTGACCAGGGATGTCCTGAAACAAAGAGGAATGAAAGAAGTCAATGACCTGGCCATTCATCACTCCCACTACATGTGGCTGAAGACCCTCCCACGCGAACTTGGCTATAGACCAGACCACTCTCTGACCAGACATAGAAGGTGTTTTAAATTTTGATAATTGGCCCAAATAGATGTCATGAAAAGGAAAATGTCGGGACTATAAGTTTAAAATTTCCTTTTCGATTGTTTCCAAACTTCCTGTGGTCAGTCTCACTTGGGAATTTACATGTGACTAATGACGTATCAGTGATTTTGCTTTAGTGGCTTAGGACGTTTTTTAGAAGTTGGTCTTGGAAACTGAGAATGTGGTCAACTTCCTCTGACATCCTTCTCACCCATACTGGGACCTTTGTGTTGTGAAAAAGTTAAGAACAAGAAAAAGAAACAAAAAAAAACCCAACACTGTGAGTATACTTTATAGGTAAACAAACCTACTCCTTTATAATACAGTGTTATGTGATTATGAAAGTTCACTCACTTTAGATCTAAGTATGAGATAACAATAATTAATTAACTTTTTTCTTACCAATAAGATGTTAGTTGCCGAATCATTTCTGCATTTGGAATGTTCAGATCCTGCAAAACCGAGAGAGAGAGCCTTGTCATGTCTGCATCTTCCTAGTAGTCACTGCAATATAAAGAGTTTAATCAAGCCTATCAACATTCTCTCTGTTTTATTTACTTCAGTGAACCTCAGATCAGACCCTAAATGAAAAAGAGTACAGGCTTTAATATTATTTTTATTGACAGCACTTCTTCACTTCTTAGAGGATTTTTTGTGTCAAGAAGTATAACTTAAAACAGAAAAATAATTCTCTTTTGTTACACGACTCAGCTGTATGAAAAATACTTACTGTTCAGAAAGGAAGAGAAGAGCTTTTTAAAATCCAGTCCTCAATATCATTTATTTTTCTGTAATCACAGAGTTAGTAGCAGCCTGCTGCTTCTTCACATAGTGTGCCAAGTTTCCTTTCAGGCTTGTAAGGGATATCTTTAGTTGTAGAAATTTTAGTCATCCTCTTCCAATGATGACATTTCCTTAGAGGACACTGAATTTGTGACCACCTGTTGTTTGACTCTGAGCTGAGCCTTTTCCTTCTTTGTATGTGTCAGATTTCAGGGTATGATACTCTTTTCCCCCTCTCTGCACGGCTTTCTGCAAAAGTTCCACTGAGGCTTCCTCTTTCACTGCCAGGACAAGACAAACTGTTTAAAGGTTTTGAAGTATGGGCCAAATGACCTTGGTTCAAAGCTTTAAAACAGACTCCTTTCAAAGTTATCCCATGACTGGTTGAAAAACCCAAGAATCTCAATTTTTGTAAATTATGTTGGTTTCATTTTTTTTTGTGTGTTTGTTTGTTTGATTGTTTTTCCCAGAAATTATAGTATTTAGCAGCTTAGTTAATATCCATAGTTCTTACACTTTATTCATCAACTCTACAGTCCTCAGTGGGAAAATTTAGATTTCTATGCTTTGGAAACTGGCATCCAAACAGCTCTAACCATGTATTTACAAGCACCAATGCTGGTGCAGCTTTGCTATCTACAGACATTCAGACTTAGTTTCCTGCAGTTGGATTTGTGCCATTGCTGCATCTTCAGTATGTATAGGAAAGACAATGGAGAACTCCTCTCACTTTTACAAATACATGTTATGTGCCTCCAAAAGAGTTTCACTATGAGGGTGGTGAGGCACTGGCACAGGTTGCCCAGAGAAGCTGTGGATGCCCCATCCCTGGAGGTGTTCAAGGCCAGGCTGGATGAGGCTTTGAGCAACCCGGTCTAGTGGAGGGTGTCCCTGCCCATGGCAGGGGGGCTGGAACTGGATGATCTTTAAGGTCCCTTCCAACCCAAACCATTCTACGATTCTATGATTCTATGAAAACACAGGCTGGAGCTCAAGGCTGAGTTTCCTCAGAAGCTGCCTGTAAAATACCAGGTAACATACAGAAAACGGTTACGGCACTGATTGATATTATCCCTGACAAGCCATTTCCTTAGTGCAAGGTGATGGGAATCTGGTCAGAGAGACTTTAGCAGCTCGAGTGGGAACATGAGGGAGAGTGAAAGCAGCTTGCCCTGTTCCTCCCCTTTCTGAGAAACCAGGGGGACCCCAGGTCCCTGTGCTGTGATGCAGGTCCTTGCTGAGCCCTGGCTTCTGGGACAGCAGCAAGCACCCACCTGATTCAGCTGCCAGCAGTTTGGAGGCTGCCTTTTTGGGGGCCTCTTTGGGACTACTTCTGCCAAAGGGGCACTTAAGCCATGCTGTAAGCCAACAGTCCCCTTTGCTATCTGAATTGAATTTGGCTTAAAGCAGAACTCTTTCTGTACTCTCCCATTATTTAACTCCCAAAGTAATTTAGATTTTATCCCTTTCTTCATCCTTTTTAATAATCGGGGGGGGGGGGGGTATAACTTGCATATCTTTCATATTTTACTGTTTTCCTTTACTGATGGAACTGTTTTAATCCATCTTTACTTTTCAATCAAAATATTTACAAGATACTGAAATCCCAGTTCAAGGCAATTAGCATAAGAGAAAATATTCATGTTTTTAGATGCACTCAGATACACTTTTCACAGGAACAGTACCCATTTGTGGCATCAGTTTGGCAACACTCAGTGAAAAGTCTAATAGGTAATTCCATTCAATTTGGTACTGTTCAGTCTGTGAAAATGTCTTCTAAAAATTCCTATTTTGTAGATTTGATGTAGACAAAAGCCAGATTAGTGACAAGTTGCCTGCAGCTCTCATTTTATACACAGAGATGTATGAGAATAATGCTGCTGTAAGGGGAAATGGCTTTAAAAAACTTCCTTGAGATATTTTTGTCTACAGAAGCAAAAATATTTTCCAAATGCCCATTAGAGTTTTCCTGTGCATTTCCCAACATAGTAAGGGAAGAATACGGTACCTGGTGAAGTTATGCTCAAAGCAGGCAGCGGATAGACTGGAGTGCGAGCTTATTTTCAGTCGACTTAAAACCATTCCAAATTTTTCAGCACGACTGCTGCTACAGCACAGCATCTAACATACGTTTCTGAGGGCAGTCCTTTAATCTGCCCCAGCTGCTCATGCGCACTTCGCCACAGGAAAGACGTGTTATGCTGGAGCTTGCAAGCGGCTGGATGTTCTAACTGATCCTGGAGTCCCTTAAACTGCACATCCCACTGCTGTTTGCACAATGATGACATTCATACATGTGTGAGGGTCGGGCTGGGGAACACCAGAAATGTAGCTAAAATGCTTTCTGCCCAAGCAGCGGTTTCTCAAGGGAAGGGAAAGACCTCCTTCAAGCTTGAGACACTCCAATGAAAGGCACTATAAATAAGGGTTCCCTGTAAACCTCTCCTCATTTCCACCAAGGAAAACAGAAAATTGCTGTACTTACGAAGCAGCAATTCTTTGTCTGTAGAAATAGAAATTGAGCAAATATCTTCACTTCATGGCAGCCCCGAGTGCCTGCAGCAATGACAAGGTCATCTCCTTCACACACAGTGAGAAACGGTTTCAGGGTGTGGGGAGGAAATGCCAGACAGATCTGAGTTTGCTTTTGCAGAAAATGAGTCATTTGACCTCACTTCTGAGCACTGCCTGTTTCCTAGTCATCGCTTAAAGGAACAAATTAAGGTTACATGTTGGCTAATGCTTTCTTTCTTGATTTTTCTTGTTTGAGTCCTGTCGTACCAAGAGTTTTGGGAGACCATGAGATACTATCAAGCAGCAATCTTAATTTACCGCCAGAATTTATTGTGTTTTCATATCTTAAAAGAGAAGGGAGACGTTGATATAAGTTGGTGTTTCATCACCAATTGCAGAGCTCAGGTTGGTTTGCTAGTGGAGCACCTCTGAGGCTGGTTACAGCATCACAGGTGATCCCTCCCCTGCTTTCTCCCACCCCAGCATTTCCATGCTGGAGTGGTTGGTTACAGCCGACACACCCAGGAGAAGTGATGTGCCTGGTTTTCCTTCTCTCACTTCCTGCTTCTTTTATCTCCATCCGTGTTATAGCATCTCAGTCTGTACCTTTCCACTTCCCATTTCCCTTCACTATGCCTTTAGCGCTTCAGGATTCATTAATGTATATAGGATTTCTTGTTGTCTGATGCCCTCTGCTGCTGTATATTTTCTGAAAAGAAAGCACTTTCTGAGGTGCTGGGTTTTTCTGTCCAGGTTGCAATCAATCCCAGCTGGGCCCTGCTGACTGGGAGAGCTCCTCTTGCAGCTGGGGTCTCCTCCACAGCTCTCCTATTCTCCTTGTGTTTTTCCAGGACTTCATGCAAATTCTATAGTATTTGTAACGGAAAACCACAAACTATAACTGCTATGTTATTTACTAAATTTAGAGCATAGCAGAAAATTGAATGGACGTCTGCAGTTACACTGCAGGAACATGTCTTTGTTGTTTTGTACATAGCCTTCTTCTAACATAGACAGAGCTAGACACTGCTGTAAGTAGCACTCATTGAAATCTGGCTGCTGGGAATTACCTCCTGGACCAGCTATGGCATAATGAAGATAAAGGAGGGAGGGTAGTGTTTGTGGTCTAAAGATTTTCCTATCGCAGTGACAACTTGTGCTTATTTTGGTGTTTGATCTTTGAAGGAGGGAAAGGTGAATGCCCTCTCACTGGTGCCATATAAAGATGGCATTTCTTAAAGGTCTAGGCAAAGCTCATTCTGCTCCCAGCCACTGCACTAACTGGCTCTACCTGTTTTTCTGTGGGGAAATCTTTAGAAAGTCTGTTCAGAATGTGGAATGAATGTGGAATTTTGCAGAAGCCTTGCCTACTCTTGTTTTTTTACCCTCATTTTCTTACTGAGTACTGGAGGCAGTTGCACCCACTGACTCTATTAAAGTACTTCAGCATCTATGAGTTGAAGGTCCAAGGTAGTAGCGGTTTGATACTACAATATAATGATTAAGAGGCTCCCTCTAGTGACTAATTTATTTTTGAAATCTTGTTATGTTTCAAAGAACATTTGATTCACACGCTACCGTTCTAAATGTTATTGCACAATGACATGAAATGGTGTTATTTCTTTGAACTCTGATTTAGACTAGGTGTTCAAGGCTTGAATGCCCAGGAGTACTTGCAGAGCCTTACCTGTTGTCCTGGAGCACGTAATCCTGGTTTGCAGCACCGGGAAGGAGCTTGGTGTGTGCACTCCAGGACTGCTCTGCAACATTAGCCAAAGTGCAGTAAGTGGGGGTGAGTGGTAGAGTCACTTTAAAAGTGCCCTTCTGCTCTGGGGTAAAGCAGTAATTCAGATGGCCCAATGCCTGCCTAATGCTCGACTCAGAAGGCTGCTGCTCACAAGCCTCAGAGAGTGATTCAGATTACTTATACACCGTCTAACCTCTCAAAGAAATCTAAAAATCAGTATGTTTTTCCTTTTATGAAAAACAATTTGCTGTGTTGTCTAAGCATAACAGCCCACTTTGGCCAGTGTAAATGGTAGGGGCCAGGAATGTGTATGTGGGCATGATCTAACTCTTCAGCAGAGTGGGATGGGAATTTAGCTAAAAAAATGGAAACCTTTTTTTCTGGATCTTACTCCCATGATTTTTGGTGGGTTCTGAGTTTGTTTGTTTGTTTGTTTGTTTTTTTGTGGGGTTTTTTTTGTTGGTTTTTTTTTTTTTTTTGGTTTAATTAAAGGCCATGAATAAAGTGTAGAAAGAGCACTTACAACAGGAACCACGTCTCTGGATTTCTCTTTCAGGAATCCCACCTTTTACAAGAGAGATGGATGTTAGCTCTCTTCAGAGTAGCTTATAGCTTATAATAAGGTAATTAAAAACAAAAACGGCCATGACCACTCTGTCCAGCTCAGGAAAAACTGCTGTGGATGATCTTCAATAGAAAAAAAATAGAGTCTTCTTCTTGTGCTTGCTTGCACAAGAGGGTGCTTAATTCAGACTCCTGAGGCCCTTCTGCTGCCCGTGGTCATGCACTTTTTTTTTTGTCACAGGTCTACAGCTTCTTTTTTTGTTGGCTTCTTCTCACTCAGGAGTGCACAGTCCTTGCGTTGTCCCACAGAGGTGGCCATGTCTCCGTATGCCGCTCTAGGTGGGCACCCACCTCCTCTAAGCACCATGTCATCACTCTTGCTGTTGACCTCTCCGGACAATGCAGGCCATGTAGGCATCCATGGCGGTCTGCATGGAAACTGCTTTTTAGGAACAGTCACGTATAAGTTAAATGCTTAATAACAGGAATGTGGTCTCTTGTTGTCCCTTCTACTGAAGTGAAGGTAGCCATAGCTTAATGTCTGTGTATACATATGTACATACCAGAATTTACAGAGCTTATTTAAAATATTTCTGTTTTTTTCATATGGGAAAGAAGAGCAAAATAGCTTTAGAATAGTTTTTAGGCAGTTGTGGCTGCTTGAATAAAATTTACACTGAAAATATTAAAGCGCAAACCAAACCAAGAGTGTTTTCTTCAAGATGAAATACAGGAAGCTTTAGTTTCTATTGCTTATTAATCAGGAATTAATAATAATGGTAACTAATAATTGTAAATTATATAAAATTCTAGTAAAATAAACAACCTAACAATTTTATGTATTTCATATTCAGGTCAATTTTTTTTTTTACTGGAAAGTGATAATTTAAACCCATGATAGAGGAAATCTATAATTTAGCATACACAGAGGTATGGAATCATATAAGGTAAAAGGTCTTGAGACTCCTTAAAAAAGCTGGGAGCCATACCATGCAGCAAGTGTTGTATGCAGATTGCATATGACTTGCAGGGGACAGAACAACACTCATGTTTGTCTGCAAACAGACCCAATGGCAAAGTCAAAAAGAAACCCTGGAGTACATTTTGGTAACGGTTACTATTCTAGATTTATAGACATGTAGTCTTGTTACTGCAGTTCACAAGTCAGCTTAAAAATAATCTTCAGTATTTTTCTGGCATCTGCCACAAACTGCAGTTTCTGAGTTTAGCATTTCAAAAGCCATGATACATTTTGATTTCAAGCCTACTAATTGTAACCGTCACCACTGAAAAAACAATGGAGAGATGAAAGGAGAACACTGACCTGTAAATACAGAGCATTAAAAATAGTTCTTGTTAAATCAAAGTCTTTTTAAATAGTATTTTTGTATTACAAGCCTGCAGAAGAGCACTAGTCTTTCAGAACTGAGGACTGACTTCAGAGTAGATCCCATTGCCTGTTTAAAATCACAAGTCACATAAATCATCTATTGCAATTGCAACAGCTCAGCACCTAAATGACTCCAGCACTGAGGAAGGAGATGTGCAGGTTCGTCACAGGGATAGTTTGCACTTTCAGGGAATGCAACTTTGCTCCAGAAGTCAATGGTGGGAACATTCCTAATGAAGCAACAAAGAAACAGCTTTGCTGTGATGGTTGGTCTACATGGAACAAAAACATGGATTAGGAGGCCTGAAATGTTTTTATATCAATGGCATTCTTAAGCCAAGGTTGTACTACAGACTTCTGCTGGCATAGCTGTGTTGGTCAAAGGTGTGAAATGCATTTTTGCCAATGTACTGTGGGAAAGAAACAGCTAAAACAAACTAAAATGCTAGAAGGGATTTTTTTTTTTTTTCAAAATGCATCTTCAGCAGAACTGATTGGCTGATATCACATTCCACTGTGCCATTTAAGTGCTCCAAAAATGGATGTGCTTTCATCCTTTTCACTCATGAATGTGCTGTATCTTCTTCTAATATCTCCCTTCAGCATCTGTAGGCTTGGGGGAGGTGAGTAGACAAACATATCAGAATACCCTTGGAATTTTTGCTTGTACCTTACATGCTGTGATCTGGAACCCAAATCGTGTAGCATCTGTAGCCCTATAAAAATGCTGAGTACTATACTTCACTCTCTCTACGCCAGTTACCTATCAGTTTATGAAGTCATATATTTAATTCCTTTTCCCTCATGTGTACATTTTATTTTAATAT